TCCCTGCCCTGTGCCTTCTCTGCTGCCGCTGTGTGAGTCAGCTGAGGTAATCTTATCTGTAGCTCCTCTCTAATCACCTGAGAGGTTGAATTTGAAAAGACCTTCCAGGAACACCAAGTCTGTCCAGCCTGCAAAAAATGCTCAGTCTGCTCTCCATAAAAGCAGGGGTGAAAGCACCTGTATATATTTAACCGCTGCGACGAGGTCCTCTGGCACAGTGGAATAATTTACCATGGAGAAGTTCACTTTTGCTATGCTCAGCAGCCTTGGGTCCTCAGCGCACCTCTGTCCATACCCTTCCTGTACACCTATGTCCAAAAAGTGTCCCAAGGCAGCCCTAAGCCTCGGCACAGCTACGGATGAGGGTCCTTCCTTTTCCCCCAGCATGGCAAAGATGTCCTTTGCTGCCCACTGAAGTCCCCCCTTTTTCCCCCGGCCCCTCTGGCAGCCTTACATCAACCCTCTGGCTGGGAGCCCTGGCCAGAGCTGCACTCCCTGCTTGTCAGATGAGTCCTCCTTGTTGACTGCATGCCCCAGGTAAATTATTTCTTCCACTCAGAGTTCTTTGACTTCAATTTTGTGCAGGGACCTCACATATATCACATCCCTCTTGCCAGTGAATCTGTCCTGTTCAAACGGTTTTGTGTACCCCAGGATCAATATATTTTAGCAGCACACAAGGACACTGTGTTATTGCCAGTTTCCCAGGCTGTACAAAACAAGAGGTATCACTTTCTTAAAGCCACTGAAACATGCTCTGGACCAGGTAAGAGTTACTTTGACATCAGTAAACATCCACGTAGAGGACTTTTCACTAATTYGTTCCCATCTCCTCATAGCAATAGTTTTTTTTCCTGGTCTTCAGTCACCAGGGTCCCAAACCTGTGGCCTGTCCCCAGCCTTCTGTTGTCTCCTCACAGATGCCTTGACCTGGCATGGCCCAAATCTTGGCTGAGAAATTAAGATGCTTTTTTGAATTGAGATATCCTTGGCGATACTCTCTTTTTGAAAGGKTGAGTTTTTGTCAAGCACAAGCATGAACTGAGCAACTCAGACGCTAAAGAATCCCCTTTCTGATCACCTTTTCATTTTTAGCATAACTGTGAAATAAGCCAAATAAGCATCAGTGGTTATCTTGGTTGGGTTTGGGTTATGTGGCCTGTGCCCTCTGCATATCATGGGTAGAGAGGAAGGGAGAAATAATGTAAATGTCCTCTTCCCTGAGTCATCTGCCTGGCGCCCTTYCTCAGCACCACAACTGACTTCCACCTGGGCCTCCTACCACTAGATTTTTTTTTTTTCAGATATTTACATTCTTCTCCAACTGCAACGTCCAGACTGGCCAAAGCTTTCCTCTTCTTTTCCCTTTCCCTGGAAAACTTTCTGGCCCATTGCTACAGGTTGGTGGCCACCCACAAGCCTCTGATCTATTGAGATGGACAGGTCTGGTAAGGGGCTTTGTAGTCTGCCCAGAAACTTGTGGATCTGCTGCAGCGGTTAAGCTGCTCTCTTCACCCTGGGCATCTCTTGGTCATTTTAGGTGTCCTTCAGATGGTGCTTTTATTCCAGCTCCAACTGTAGATTCATTTCTTGGCTGATTTTGCTCTGTGAATGCTGTCTTTGTTCCTTGTGTATTTAATGGTTATCTCAGATCATGCATTTGCTCCTGTGCCCTCCAAGAAGCCAGTCAACTGCAAGATGCAGTGGGCTACTTTGTCTGTGTTTCCCATAGACCCAGGCATTTCCTTGGCACAGCCCTGCTCMCTCCTAAACCAAAACACTTCCAAGGAGGCTGTGGGGTCACTGTGTCCAAACCAGGGCAGTGCTTGACTCTGAAGGCTCTTGGTCCTCCCTTCCTCCTTCTCTTTCCGAACTTTCCTCAGGTCCAGCCATGCCCTTGGCTTTCTTGGTCCTCTCCCTGTTCCCCCTTTGCAGGCCTTAATTCCAGGCAGTGCCAGGCTGGAGTTTGGGGTGGAGGCAGCTATTGTTTCAGCTATCGGCAGAGCAGTGCTCCTTAACTGTATTAAATGAAGGGCGGAGGTCACACATCCCTAGTTTAAATGAGGTTCGGGCTGACCTTTAACGATATTGCGCTCGTGGATCCGCTCATAACTCACGGAATAAACTCCCAGGGGCTCCTACCATCTCCCGCTTTCCTTCCTACTGCAAGGATGCCCGAGGCTTAATGCGCCTCTCTCCAATTTCGCTTTGATTTCTAATCCCATCCCCTTCTTCCCCCTCAGATACAGATATAGTCACTCTCTAAAGGTGGGGGCAAAGAACCTGTTCCTTCCCTCCTCTGGTCGACAGCTCTTTCTTTTGTGTCTCTTTCCTCCCGCCCCCCTCCCCTTTCTTGACACAATGCACTATTTATTTGCACTGAAGGATAACTAAGAAGCAATTAAAAGATCAAAAGGCACAAACACAAGTAGATCCAGTGGCAACTTGTGGGGCTTATTTTGCTGCTGCCGCCGCTGCAGCTTCACCAAAAGGCTGGCGTGTTTCCCCCCCAGCCCAGAGGGACACCTCTCATACTGGGTCGCCTCTTCCTCGGCGCAGACTTTTTTATGATGGCTATTTTTCACCCCCATTGTTTGCTATTGCAGTTGTTTACTGGAAAATCACTTGTTTTTCTCAGGGAGATTAACCCTCCAAGCTTTCTTTTGTCTACTCTCAGGAGGTCCTTGTGGTGAGCTGGGGGAAGGGAGCTCCACTCCTTCAGCTATTAACAGTAGCTTACAGCCCTGCTTCACCCCCTTGCCTAGGTTGCCTCTTTGCCTTTGATGAGCTCTCGCTGGAAGAGGAGAGAGGTGGCTCTCCTCTTCGACAAGGAGACAAATCTCGCAGGACGCTTTGCACGGGGCAGAGAGGGAGGACCCACGAGCAGGATTTTCCAGCTCCTGGGTGTCTAAGTGGGAGCTCCCAAACCCGGAGGTAGGTATCACATGGAGATGCTTCGCTGTAGAGAAGCCCCAATACACACGGGCAGGACTTCCCAAGCGCTCGGTCTCTTTGACAGCCAGGCCACCTGTGTAAGTGCTTAAGCGCAGATGTAGGCGCCGAGGTTAGGTGCCTGTGTTTGAAAAGCCGGTGCGCGCTGAGGAGCATTCCCAGCACCACGGCGCTCTCCAGGTGTGCGGACACCACTGCCCTGGCACTAGGGCGGGTGGTGGACGGGAGACACACATCAGAGCAGCAGAGCCCGAGGAACAAGCCGGAGGGCAGAAGGATGCTGAGGAGGGAAGGATGTCCAAAGCTTTCTTGGGAAGGACCGGTCCTGCTCTTTGCTCATGTTTGCTTGGGCATGTCTGGGCAATTCTGACTGCTCGGAGAGTCCCCAAGTCGCCCATCCTCAGACTAATAATAATAAAGATAATAAATAAATAAATAAATTTCATTGGAGGCTCATCGCAGCCAGGGCTCCGTCGCGTTGCCCACGGGGCGAGCCGGCCGAGCAAGCGGCAGCCCCAGGACTCCGCACCCGCGCAGCGGCGAGCGGGGCGGCCCGCGGGGGCAGGGCCGGGGGCGGGCAGCGCGCGGAGGAACCGCGGCCATTCCGCGGGGCTCAGTGCAACAGCTCGATTATTTTATTTTATTTTATTTTATTTTATTTTATTTTATTTTATTTTATTTTATTTTATTTTATTTTATTTCAATTTCGTGGGGAAAAAGCCCCGGAGGCTCCGCGGCAGCCTCCCCGGGCCCCTGGCAGGGTTTGGGGGCTCCGAAGGGGCGCGCAGGCACCTGCGCGAAGGGAGCCGGGGGGGCGGCGGGGCGGGCAGCAGCGCGGCCCCCCCGGGCGGGCAAAGCCCCTCCGGAGCGCGGCCGGCGAGGAAAGCGCGCGGCGGAAACTTTTCCCCCCCCCCCCCCTTCCCTCCCCGAGCTGGACTCCGGAGGGTTACGAGGGAGAAGGAGGGAGGGAGGGAAGGAGGGAGGGAGGGAAGAGAGAGGGGGTTAGATCGCGCTGCAACATTATTGGCTGCGTGGCCGGGCTGGTGCTCGCCGGGGAAGAGCATGCCCATTGGGGGGGTATAAAAAGGGGGCAGCCGGAGCGCCCTGCCTGTCTCCTCGCTCGTGGGGCAGCCAGCCGGGAGCAGCGCGCGCCTAAGGGAGCCAGCCCCTCCAGCCCCGGACAGGGGGACGCAGTCTACACACACCACAGTGAGAGCCACCCCAGGGGCAGCCACAGCAGGAGGAGAGAAAGGGGGAAAAAAAAAAGGAAAAAAAAAAAAAAAAGGATAAAAAGGAAAAACAGAAAAAAAAGGGAAAAAAAAAAAAAAAAAAAAAAAAAAAAAAGGATAAAAAGGAAAAACAGAAAAAGGGGGGAAAAAAAACAAAAAACAAAAAAAGAGAGAAAGCGCTCGCTCCGCTCGCTCGGTCTGCGGCGCAGCAGAATACCTGACCGTAACCAAATAACATCCTCGAGACAAAACCAAGCAGGGACTTGACAGCGCAGCCCGGCCGGGCGAGGAGAGCGGAGCCGGAGCCGGAGCGGGGGAAGCGCCGAACGGAACCGAACCGAGCCGAGCCGARCCGCGCCGAGCCGAGCCCGCCGGCAGGGCAGGAGAGCAGCATGGCCAGCGCCGCGGCGCGCACGGACGAGCGCTGCCGGCAGCCCGCCGCGCTGCCCGGCCCGCCGCACCAAGCCGAGGGCAGCGGCGGCAGCGCCAAGGTAAGCGCCGCGCCAGCAGCGCCGGGGGCCGCGGGGCGATGCGGGCGGGCTGCCCCGCCGCCGCCGCCGCCCGCCCGCCCCACGCGCGGCGCTAGAGGGACCCCGAGAGCCGGGCTGGGCCCGCGGTGGCCGCGCGGAGCGGGCGCGGAGCCCCGCGCGCTGCGCGGCCGAGCGGCGGCTCCGCGCGGGCTCCGAGGGACGCGCCGCGGAGCCGCGGCGGGGTCGGGGGTTCGCGGAGGGAAAACAAGGACGCCGAGGCCAACACGGAGCCGGAGTTAACGGTTGGCATGGAGCCTTCGACTTTYCCCGTTTTTTCCCCTTCCTCCCCGATTGCTTTTCCCTGCAGTAATTGCTCTGAGAGCGCAACTTGGAAAGGTTTGAGCCCTCGCCGGAGCAGGAGGGAATTGGGGCGCGTGAGGAAACTCGGATTTAGCGTAACTGTACCAGCAGATGTGGCCGCCTTGCCTTGAGCCAGTGGTACGTTAGGAGGGTTTCCGATACGCTAGGGGCTCGCGCAGGCAGCGTGGAGCAAGCGAGTGTGAAAATGAGGGTTGCGTGGGCGGGTTGAAGCAGACACCTCGGCAGCACCGTGGCGCTCAGCCCTTGCGTCGCGACTTCCGAGACAAAGTCCGTAGTTTTCTTCCCAAATGCCAGGATGTGCCTGGGAGGCCAGGGCCTGCTTTTCTTTGTGTTTATTTGTTGTCAGGTTGTGCGCGCGTGTGTGTGTTGTGTGCGCGCGTGGTTTTCTTCTTCTGCCGTGCAGCGCTCAGCGTGCTGGGCTGGTGGTTTTTCTTCCCTCCTCCTCTTGGCTTGATTTAGAGCGGAGTTGAGGAGTCTGGGTCGTCGGTTTTGTAAGGGTGACTTTGTGCTAAGGACATCTGGAGAAATAAAACTGACTGACACTTCTGGTTTGAGCTCCGCTGAACTGTTTTGGACCCAACTTGACAATTCTGGTGGGGGTGAATGGGTCAGTGCCGTAAATCTTGCTCGGTGCTGTCGACACCCACACAAGCTCCCCCAGCCTTTCAAAGGGGCTATCCCTGCTCCTGTGAAAATTCATTAAGGGATAAAAGATTTGACACTGCAGGTCCCCTCCCACTGCCAAATGAAATCGGAGAGCCAAAATGCGTGTGTGTCCTGCCGCTTTTTTCCAGACAGGTGATCCTTTCCGCAGCCTGGCCAGCAGGAGCGGGCTGCCCCGAGGCGTGGGTGCCCTGTGACTCCAGCAGGCTTTGAATGAAGCCCTGCGGGAGCAGCGGAGCTCTAGAAAGAGGGATTTCTGCCTTTCTTTCCTTGCTTAAATAAAGCGAACGCAGCAGGTGAGGTCTTATTTTTAGAGGGACGGAGCCGCTGGTGCGTTTCCAGCGCTGCATACTGGCCAGCGGCGTGAGCGGCCCACCCTCTCCCTGCTCGTGTCCCGGGCCTGACCTCGCCGGTCCCAAATGCTGGGTTTGCCCATGCTGCCACAGRCTTCTGCGTGCAACGGGGCAGAGCGATGCCACCTTCACCGGGCACGTGGACACGGGCTTGGAGAGGCAGGGGAAGAGAACCCTGCCTGGTGCCTGCAGCCGGGCTTTGCAAGGGTTAAATCCGCTCTGCCAAGGCATAAAGTAAGTTCAGCGTGTTGTGGGAATATCACTTGCCAGTAAACTCCAGTCACCACAATTTCTGATTTAACAGCTTAACTTGCTGTTAACTTTTCCTGATACACTCCAGGTTTTGGACGTGGATGCGGAGAGGGGAGAGGAACAATAAAGAAAGGAGTTAAGTGAGGCTACTAAAACGGACTTAAATCCCTTCCCTGGCCCTTGCCAGCTGTCTTTAGAAGAGTTAAGCAAGATTGCATTTCCTTTTTTTTCTGCCATAAATCAAACGTTTCTGGGCTGCATACCAAAATTTGTGCAATATGCTCTCGCTCCCCAGCGGGGCGAGTAAATGGTACTGAATACCCCATTCACCTTTTGGAGCTTGATTTTTCCACAGCTCCGGTAGCCCTCGCTGCGGAGCTGGTGGCGCGGGGCGCGCTCGCTGGCTCCCGCCATGGCCGGGAGGCACGAGGGTGCCTCGCTTCCTGGTGGGAAAGGCGATCCCCAGGGCAGGGCTGAGCAGTGCGCGGGGGACGAATGGGGAAGACAAAAAGGCAGAGCGCTGAAAATAGAAGCAGTATTGCCAACCTCAGCCCTATAAATGTCACGCGAGCCAGGTGCCAGCAACTGGGAGATTTTTATTTCTTTCTTCAAGCCTCGCTATTAAAGCCAAACAGGAAAAAAAAAGACAAAAACAAACAAACAAAAAATACCACAAATAAACAAACTCGAATCCCCTGGTTCTGGGTCAACCTGTCAGTGGTCACAGCCCTGGGCGACGCTGATGGAGGTGCGGCAGTGCTGGAGCCCCAGTACCTCTGTCCAAGGTGCAGACCGATGGCATGTGAGAGATGGGCACCAGTCTGGAATCCTGGCATCTTTGGGGTTTTCTTGGTAGGCTGCCCAACACCTGTGAGCATCTTGTGGTACCCACTTGCTGGGATAAAGTTGTGCCTGGCATGGTCRGAGGTGATTTGCAGGTAGATGCTGAAGTGCTAAAGCTTCAGCCTCCTGGGCTGGGCTGGGGCATTGACAGTTTTTGGTTGTCTTTTCCCTCCTGCTTGGTGGGGACTTGACAGCTTCTTGCCTTGTTGCTGTTGAAGCTCTTCACTACCCCACAAAGAGCAAGAGTTGGCCTGGGCTATCCAAAAATCCCAAATTTGCAGACTGGGCCATCTGTCAACTCCCTCCTACGTTGCGCTGTTCATATTAAATTGTAATGAAGGCCAGACTGAAGGAGGAATTAGGTCAGACAGGAGGTTGAGTATCCGTTTTTCGGGAGATGTTGCCCAAGAGAGGCAGAGTGGTTTGGTTGGCTCGATGCGCGCCTGGATGCAAGGGATGCCTGAGCAGCCCGTGGAGATTTGGCAGCAGGGCCTCATAGCACATCGTGGCCTCTTGGCCTCTGGCTCCTCAGCAGCTGGACAGAAATTGCCGGTGCAGCTGATGCCGCGACTTGTCGAACCCCGCTGCAGCAGCCTCCGATGCCCTGATGTCCACCTGCATCACCTGCTTGAGCACCCGCGGGGCGGTAGCGAAGACGCAGCCTCCGCGTGCAGCCGGCGCCGGGCATTCCTGTCCCCGCCGCTGCCCAGGGCCGCGTGTTGAGGGAGCAGTGGCCTCTGGAGGCAGGCAGCGGGTGTCCAGCCCGGGCTGATGCGCGCGGCGCCGGGCAGGGCGCGCTGCAAGCCCGGCCCCGCGCGCCGACTCGGGCGCGGACGAGCGTCTCGGGGCGCGCACGCCGGAGCGCGCTGTGTGACGGATGCGCGTGCATCGCTCTCCGGAGGGAGGCAGGAGAGGGACAGCGGTGACGGAGCTGGGGTGATGGTGGCCGAGCGTGCGGCTGGCGCTGCCGCTGTGCTCATGGCACCCGGGCGTGCYGCAGGAAGGGGATGCGGCTGCATGTGTGCCTGGATGGGGAAAGGGCTCCCGGGTGCTTCTTGGCATTTTCCAAGGACAGAAGTTGTCTTTTTTTCCCACCAAATGGGCAGGGATCTGGTCTTCCCCAGCATCAGGTATCGCCCCGCTGACACAGCCTGGCTTTCCTGCTGTCGTGTCCTCCCTAGAGGCTGCAGCACTGCCTGTGCCCTGGGGACGCCGGCAGCCGGGAGCTGCACTTGGAACATAGAAGAAGGTGGAGRGCGATGGTGGTGCCACTGCAGAAGTGCCTATGTGCTGCCTGGAGCCTGGGGAAGAGCTACTGAGCTCTGGAAAGGAAAGATGCTGCTTAAAGAGCCAGGGGGAGAGAAGCCTTTCACATAAGGGCTAAAATGGGATTTCCCAATGGAAATCTTCATGCTGCTACCAAAGAGCAGGCACCAAGGTGGCCTTATTGCCCCGGCTGCTGGGGGACCTGAGCCGATCTTGTGGCTTCACCTTGAACTGGGGCAGGGAGATGTGATGCTCATCAGGGAGGCATTGTAGGGTCTTGAACCTTGAGTGGGTTTACCTCTGCYGGTGTGCCCATCGCACCTTAGTTCTAGTTTAACCCTCCGCATTGGCCAGTATCCCCATGGCCTTCCTTGGAGTGGGTTTCCTGAGGGATGTCCTGGCCGTCTTGGGAAGGTTGGGCCCCAGATGGTGGCGCCTGGGCTYGGCAGGTCTTCTGCAGTGGCCGCCGCAGCTGGGCAGAGCTGAGTGTTCCTCAAAAGCAGCGGCGCCTGCGCGGGCCGCGACGTCACGTCGCGCTGCGCTGGGGAAACGCGCTCAGAGCTTCTCATCAGACCCACTTAGAAAGCAAAACAAAAGACCAAAACACGTATTCTGATCGTCAGTTAAATGATTTCCCACTRAAAGGGAAAGGAAAGATGCTGCTTAAAGAGCCAGGGGGAGAGAAGCCTTTCACATAAGGGCTAAAATGGGATTTCCCAATGGAAAATGGCCTTAATGTCAACCGTGTCTGGCCCAAGGCTGTCTGGCAGGCTGAGCCTTGCCTGCAAAACCCTCTTCTACGGCATCTGAAGCCATCCATGGGGGGAAAACACRGGGTGAGGAGATGCGGGAGGAGAGGGGAGGTGAAGTGGGGGCCTGTTCCCATGTCTGAGCCTCTGGCTTTGCCCGCAGGTGCCGAGGATGTGTGCCGCGAGGAGACTGCTGCTGTTGCTGCTGGCCTTCCTGGCCTCCGCGCTGGACGCTGCCGCTGCCTACGGCACAGCCGAGACCCTCTGCGGCGGCGAGCTCGTTGACACRCTGCAGTTCGTCTGCGGGGACCGGGGCTTCTACTTCAGTGAGTAGCCAGCACCAGGGCCCGCCTGCACATGGGGGCACTGAGCATCCTGTTCTCTGCGCGGTCCCTTTGGCGCGACAGGGGCTGGTCCTCCTCCCTTGCTGTCACCTGCATCTGTGCCTGCGTGCAGGRGCCAGTGAAAAGAGAAGCTGGAGGTGTGCATTGATGTGAAGCTGCTTGGCACTGGCTTGGGGATGTTGGAGGGGGTGAAGGGGGCAGGTTGGTGCCGCGTGTGATGCTCAGAAAAGTCAAGTGTTGCTGGGAAGCGCCGCTGTGTTCTCGGGGCAGCGATGCTGTGTTTTGGGCTGACCCATGGTGAGGTGGGTGCTCTGCAGTGATTTATCCAGCCCTCTCARTGCTGAGCCTCCGGCCCAGCTTGCCTTACAAGCTCCCAGGTGGCACTACGCTGGTGTTGTATCCACATCTCCTTGCTCATCCCAACTGCTGCTCCTGGGAAGGGCCTCTTGGAGCAGCTTCGGGAGCACCTGGATGGGGGGCTCTGCTCGCCTTGCCCTGGGCAGGTTTGGTGGTGTCTGTAGCTCCTCAGTACCTCTCCAAATCCTCCATCTGCTGCTTAGGTGTGGATGTGTCATGGGCAGACATGGACCAGCTGTGGGAAATGGCTTGGGAATGCCTTCCCCAGCGTAAATTATGCCTGAAAAGATGCCRTGGCCATTACCTGGCGAGCGTGATGTCTTCGGGGCAATGGATGAGACAGTGCTTTCCGCGGGGGCGTTTTTGGGTTTCGTGGCCACATTGCAATGGGCAGGGGCAGCTCGGTGGGCTTGGAACCGGGGCTGCCTTGCCCTGCGCTGGTGTTTTATGTCCTAGGGCTGTGCCTGCTCTCCTGCGTGCAGCTGGCAAGCGCGGGCAGGTAACCGCGGGCAGGAGGCCAGGCGGGAGGGCGCAGGCACAAGCTGCCGTGCATTTGGCGACCTTGCGAAGATTAAGTAGCTCCGAAAGCTGCTTTTGAGGAACAGGGCAAGCTGCTTTTTCAGGAATGCTGCTCTCTGGATGTGTTCTCCGTCCTACCTGCCCACAGAGGGAAGGGTTTGCTGCGCAGCAGGGGGAAGACCCCGGGTCCCGATTTTGGATAGGGGTGCTCAGTCAGCAGCTGGCGCCCTGCGTGGTCTGGCGTGCCGGGAGCGTGAYGGTGCCGCCGCGGGGCTGCTTCTTGGACCCAGCGCTCCTTGGAAGCAGGCTGCTGTTTTGGGAAGGCGCAGGGAGCTTCTGCCTCCCCTGGGGGAGCCGGGCTGCGAGAGCTTGCGCGGCTGCCAAGGGCTTGCACCGCAGCGCTCATCCTCCTGCCTGGCGCTTGCACCTCTTCCTCTCACCTATATATAGAGGAGTGGCTGCTCTCTGCCTTTTGCTTCCCTTTCCTCCTCCCCGTCTGGTTTTGGGGGGATGAAAGGGAGCGGGGCTTTTGTCTTATGGACAGACTGACCTTCTTTCACCTCAAATAACCCCGCTTTCCAGGCCAGAATAAAAACACTTCTGCCGGCCGAGCAGGAGCTTCGTKCCAAGCAGCCAAGCTGGTATTTGAAAGGGGATTTGTCTTTTTTTCCCCTCCTGTCTGGCCCACCTTCCCATTTTTCATCTCTCTGGAGTGTAGGTGCCCTCAGGTTGACGGAAAGACATCCCAAAGCCCCCCAGCATCCAGCTGTACGAGGCTGAGCAGATGTTTGGGTGCAAGCTCGGCTGGGTGAAGGGTGCAGACATCCCTCACTCTTTATTTTTTACCCTTTATTGTTTGGTGAAAGTTGGTCTTAGTCATAACTTTCACCTTTTCTTCCCTGTGTTGGTTGGTCCAAGYTGGTCTTAGGCTTAAGCTTTTGAAACCTTTCTGCTACCAGTACCCTGGATCTCAGCACCCTGCCCCTGCAGCCACACGGCAAGGTCTACAAAGCAAGTGTGTTGCTGTCTGCTGGATCATGGGGACATGTTTCGACACTGAGATGCTTGCATGTGCCCACCTGCTCCCTGCTGGTAAGCCAGAGATGCCCTGGGGAAGCCAAGTGCTGCCACAGCCTTGTCCCACAGGTGCWGGGGAGCCCCGCCAGCTGCCAAGGACTTGTTGCAAGCAGCCAACCGGTGAGCTCAGAAAAATGCATACCACGAGAGAGCTCACTGGTGCTCTCTGATACCCAGGTGATTTAAACACTGAGCTCCTGGGCTACGTCCTTCTAAAAGGAGGACTTGCCAAAGGTGACGTCCCCCTGGGGTGTTCCTGCAAGCCCATCTCTGGGCTCTCCTCCCACTTGCATCAACGCCAAGTGGGTGCAGGGTACCAGCAGCTCCCGTGGGCGCTGTTTCACCCCCTGGCACCTGGCAAAGGCCAAATAGGCAGTGCAGCAAGTGACAGTGGGGATGTCCATCTGTGTATCTGCTCACAGGAGCACATAGCAGAATGGCAGGTTTCTCGGCAAGAGCTGTGCTTTGGATACACTCCCGGGGCTGTCCAGCATCCTCAGCTTATATTCTGCCGCGCATCCCCTTTTCCATCCCTGATGCCGCCGTTTCCCGAGGCGGGTGGYGAGGTGCTTGCAAGAGGGAAGATGAGCGGCAGCAGGTCGTGGGCTGCATTTCCCACTGCTTCCCGTGCCCTGCTTGGATGCGGACCCAGGTGTGCTCTGCTCCGGGAACACCGGGGCAGCAGGAGGGAGACGTGCAGCTGCCATCAGCCATAAACAGAGCCGTGGGCCCTGTCCTGTGTGGTTGTGAGGATGTCCTGGGCCAGAGGAGCTGGGGGCGAGGAAGGGGCTGGGGACCACAGAGGAGGAGGAGGAGGAGGAGGAGGAGGAGCAGCGCCTGCCCTCTCCGCCACAAACAAGGGCTCCCGTTTCCTCCTTCCCAACAGCTGATAAGAATTCAGCTCTGTGCCGGCCGCTTGTGCTGACGGGGCACATTCCTGCGCACCCGCCGGCCCTCCGAATAATACTAGGAAAAAGCCGGGGGGCGGCGCGGAGCTGGACGCGCAGGGCCGGCCCGGGGGCACGGGGACAGTGGCGGCGCTGCGGGCCGGCACAAAGGGGCCCTTGTTGGTCCCCGCCGGGCCCGGCGGCCGCGGGGGCTGTTTACGCCCAAGGGCCCCTTGCGCTCAGCTAGGCGCTGGCTTTGCCTCGCGGCGCTGCTGCAGGCCCTGGGTTGCAGCCCCCACGCCGGCGAAGCCCCACCAGGAGGGGCGCACGGAGCGGCGGAGCTCTGCTGGGAGGGAGGATAGCGAGAGGTGGTGGCGCGGGGCAGGAAGCGGCCTTCCCAGCGGGAGCGCGGTAATTAGTTAAGTGGGAGCTATTTCCTCATGGCCGCATGAGGCGCGGGGCCACCCAGCAGCCGGCGCAGCCCTGCTTGCTGGCGCCGTCGTTGAAGCCAGAGGCCGCATGTGGGCAAGAGCTGGGGAGTCCCCCCGGGCGGGCCTGCATCCCCCGACCAGCACAGCCTGGGATAGCGGTGGCATGGACACTGCTCGCCTTCCTCTTCCAAGCCTGAGGACACCTCAGTTCCAAGAGGGAGGAAAATAACCATAATGGGAGCCCTTCCTCAGAGTGCCATGGCTTGGAGCAATAGTGTCACCTGAGTGCTGCCACGCTAGTGGCATCTCTCTTCTGCCRTGAGTCCTCATGAGAGGATGAAGAGCTGGTCTTGGAGGGGTGGGAGTGTGCTACTGAGCGAGACGCTCTTTCCCCAGCAGTCTCAGAGCCGTCCCATGTGTGAAAACATAGCGTGTTGCTCCATCTCACCTGCCAAGTGCCAAGGTGAGAGGAGAAGGTTGACAACCACAACACAATGCAGCTTCTTGCCAAGCTAGGCGGGTGCTGGGATCCACCTTGTCGCAGTAACTGCCCTACGTAGCGTTCATGTCCCCAGTTGGCCGTGGCTTGCTCGCTTCCCGTGTCCCAGCTAGCTGAGACTGTGTGTGGAGGCGTCTTCTACCAGTGCTTCAGGGAGGTTGGGGTCCCTTTGGACATGGGGCCTAATGGCTGGGCTTCTGCTTTTGCAGGTCGGCCAGTGGGGCGAAATAACCGGAGGATCAACCGGGGCATAGTGGAGGAGTGCTGCTTCCGGAGCTGCGACCTGGCTCTCCTGGAGACCTACTGTGCTAAGTCCGTCAAGTCGGAACGAGACCTCTCAGCCACCTCCCTGGTGGGGCTGCCAGCGATCAACAAGGTAAGCGGGTCCGACGCTGCTCCAGAAGAGGAGGAAGGAGGAGATAAACGGGCCCCGGGAAGAGAGGAGGATGCATGTCTTTGAGACCTGCTCTTCCACAGCGAAGCTGGGCTGAGGAGACCTCCGAGGGACAGAGATGCTGGGAAGCCACTTGAGCAGGAGGGTTGGACTAGATGATCTTCAGAGGTCCCATCCCACCTCAGCCCTGCAGTGACTGCCTTGCCCGATCACCTGGCACAGAGCGCACACGGGATGGTCCCCTCCAGCCAGCCTGGAGTAGAGATGGTCGAGGCTAGGGAAGCAAGAGGAGAAACAAGCTGTCCCCCAGGGGCCAGGTGGGAACCAGTCCCCCCCGCTCACGCTGCTTCTCCCCTTCGCCTTGCAGGACAGCTTCCAAAAGCCGTCGCACGCCAAGTACTCCAAATACGACGTGTGGCAGAAGAAGAGCTCGCAGCGCCTGCAGCGTGAGGTGCCCGGCATCGTGCGGGCCCGCCGGTACCGGTGGCAAGCGGAGGGCCTGCAAGCCTCCGAGGAAGCCAAGGCGCATCGCCCCCTCATCGCCCTGCCCAGCCAGCGGCCCCCGGCAGCGCGAGCGTCCGCGGGCACGCCAGGCCGCCAGAAATGAACTGCCCAGCGGCTTCTCCGTTTTCGGTCCGCCGGGGGCGGGCGGGAGGACTGGCCGTGTCTAGCCCCCGAGCCCCTCGGCCCCCCGGGCGGGCGGCAGCGCCGGGGGCTGCTGCTCCCCGGCCGCCCAGCGGCCGGCCCGGCGCGGGATCCCACCGCCGGGAGCCAGCGCGGAGAGCCGGCAGGACCGTGGCACCCTCGGCCAGCGGCGCCGGCTCCGTGGCATCGTCCTACCCGGTTATCTTTGGGTTTTTTTTGGGGGGGGCGGGAGGGGCGTTTCGTTTCCCAGACCTGTTTTCTTCCCCCATGTACCCAGTGTTTCCAAGCCTGTGCTTCAAAGGGACAGTTTGGCACTTGAACTTTTTTTTTTTTTTTTTTTTTTTTTTTTTTGTTTTTTTTTTTTTTTTTTTTTCTCCTGTCGGGCACAGCACGACATCCCGGGTGCCAACAGCAGAAGACAAAACAAAGAGCGAGAGGGAAGAGGATACGATGTCAAACTTTATTCTTTTTTTTTCAAGAAGAAGAGTCCATTCCGTGTCTTTCTGGACAATAAAGTGAAAAAAAAATGGGGAGAAACACTGAGGGATATATATATATAAATATTTTTCCTCATTCCCACCCCACTTTTTAGTTTATTTTATTTTTTTGATATTTTTTCTTATTTTTATAACTTTCTTTTGCACCTTTAAGAAAAAAGCAAAGTAACTGAGAAGAAATTCCGAGGAGCCCATCCATCCGCGTTGTTTGTGTGTGCTTAATTACAAGATTCCAAATCGACTTGCACCTTTTTAAAATCATCGATGAAGTGAGAAGGGGAGGAAGATGAGAGAGAGAGAAAGAGAGAGAGAGAGAGAGAGAGAGAGAGAGAGAGAAGAAAAAGGAAAGGGGAAAAAAAAAAAGTGAGCTGATGCTCACTTTAAATGGAGGAGGCGTCTGCATTGCACATTTGCCACGGATTTAGTTGATTTATATATATAATATATTATATAACTTTTTTGGCAAAAAAGCACTATTTTTATGGGACATTTTGTGTAGTATCTGAAGAGGGATTGTAATGTTTAAAATGTGTTATGGTGCTAAAGTAAGTTGGAAGGGAAAAAAAAACAGAAATAGCAAGGGAGGGTGGGGAGGGAAGGACAAGATAGCGAATACTGAACTTGAAATTTTAGCTTTTCGTTTTAGGAAAAGTGTGATAAATGTGTTTCTTTTCTCTTCTGAAATATAGCTTGGTCATGACCATATGAGCTCGTTGGCTATCACTCATGTACACAGATGCACGCACACACAGAAATACATCTATACGCATCCTTTTTTTTGTTGTTTTTTTGTAAGAAAAAGAGGAAAAAAAGCAAAACGAAAAATATTTAGATGAAAAGGGAACTGTTCTTAGTGACAAACTGTGTCGAGGGCGCCCAGGGGGGCTCGGCGAGGCCACCTGGCCGGCTTCTCCCCGGCGCGGCCGGCTCGCTCGCGCGCCGCCGCGCCGGGCAGCCCTCGGCCCTGCCGCTGCCGGAGGGAGCAAGGACGGAGCTCTCGCTCAAGGCGCCGGCCAGCGAGGCGGGCAGTGGGCTGTAAAATAGGTTGGTTTTAAAAATAATATATATTATCTGTCTAGGAACCGTAAAAGGGGGGGGAATCAATTACATCTCCCTATGATATACTCTCACTTGCTAATAAAATGGGGACACTCTGTTAACCAGTTCTGTACTTGCTTTGTCTTATATATCCATACATTTAAAACATAAAAAAAAAAAAGACTACTTGAATTGTATTCTATTTCGTGGTTTGGAGGGGAGGGCTAGGGGGAGTCTTGAGAGGGGGAGGATTTTAATGTATAATCCTTTTGTTTGTTATTACCTTGCAATGTTGAGCCATGAAGCCTTTGTTTAAAAAAAATGGCACTGCAATACACGACAAAGAAAATCCTTTATTTATTTTATTAAATATATATGGAAAAGAATGAAAATTGGTCCAAATTAAAAGGGCGGGGGGAGGGGGGAGTGGGTGGGGAAGGCAGAATAAAAACAGCAATTGCAAATAATTGACTTTTTTTTTCCTTTTCATGTGTCTTTTTTTAAAAGAAACCTAGTTTTTATTTTTTAAAAAGAGAAGTAAAAGCTTTCCTGGATGCTTTGTACCAAAAAAAGAAAAATGAAAAAAAAAAAAAAAAAGAAGAAAATCTGTTAAGCAAATAAATATCCATCCAGAATATGAAGCCTGACTTTTGCTTTTATTTATTTTTCACTATTGGGGCGAGGGGGAAGGGATCACAGCTGGGAGGGGGAGGGGAAGCCAGGAGGGAAGGAAGGAGGAAGGAAGCCAAGCCAAGTGGCTGTTAGGTTAATTAAGGTCATTAGGTTAATTAAGGTCATTAGGTTATTAAGGTTGTTAATGCTCCCCTCTTTTGGAGCTGCAGCCTTTAAGGGAGGGGATGGTCTTCAGCATCTTCTGCTGCCCCAAAGGCAATGCTGGAGCTTTGGTTGTCTGGCTCTGGCCAGTTGAGCTTGGTGCCTGCTTTTGGTGGTGCTTTGCTGGGGCTGGTGATGTTTTCCAGAAGCTGTCAGCGTTTGGTTAAGTTCAGTATTTTATGGATTTGGGCCATATCCAAAGTCCCAGTGTCTGGAGTTCCCACTTGAAGGCAAGCTGAACTGGAAGGGAAGATATGCTGAAGGTAAGAAGGGGCAAAATAATCTTGTCTGTATTCAGGTTTCCTTGTTTTTTCAGGATTCCAACAATTCTCTTTTCTAGGGGCAAGATGTTGTGGTGTCTGAAAGATCCAGGTCAACTGGATCCTCTGTAAGGAGTATATGGTGGTGCAAATGCTAGGAAAAGTACTCTGGATTCAGGCTGGTAGTGACTTCCATTGCTGTAGTAACTACTGGGCAAGCTGGTGCTAAAGACATGTCCTTTATGTCCAAATGCRGCTAGATCCTGTGCATCTGACACGAGTCACTGATTCAGGTACCCAGGGATACAAATTGTGTCTTTGGAAAACTTTTTCAAAACTTGGGCTAAGCTGAAAATGTTGATTTTCCTTGGATGCTTTTTAATAACTAGATGGCAGGTTTTCTTGTGCAGCTTCAGGGACAGCTGCCTCCTTTGGATGCTTCTTCACTGTAGATAGAGAAAGGCTGTGTTCATCTTCGTATCCCTCCACCTGCCCCAGACCTTTGGCTTTTTTTGTGCCCAAAGGTGGCCCTCCAAAGGGCTAACCTAGTCATGCCTGTAGTGGAATCTGCTGCTAGTTTTAAGAGCTGGCATAGCATGCAGACCTCTTTCTGGGCTCTCTTTTTAGTTCAATTGTACCAACATATCCCAAGTGGTCACTGGGGGCTTCTGAGCCTGGTTGAGTGAGGTCTGACTGTTGCAACTCAGATGCATCGAGAGAGTTGACTGGGATTTTCTTAAGCCTTCCTGAGGCTGCTCCAGGGACCTATGTGTGTTGCTTTGCTGCCTTCCAAGGGGATGGGGAGGCAAATGATAACTTTGGCAGAAGAGTGAGAATCTGCTTCCCTGGTACCCTGGAAAGGAATGGATGAGCACTCCTTGTCCAAACCTACTTGTACTTCCAGGTGTGGATATTATGTTGTTCTGTAGGAGACAGCAAGCAATTGGGTTCAATTTAAAAAAAAAAAAACAAACAACAAGAAGCTTTGGATGTACACAAACTGCAGGTGCTGTGGTGGAGTGGCAGTTCCAGGACTCCCAGGCCAAGGGATGCCCTATCCTGSGAATTTCTTCTTGTGCAAGGGGCTTGGGATGGCTCCCAGGAGGGAGCCGTGGCTGCCGTTGGGACGCGTGCTGCGGCAGACATGACTTCAACCTGCTGGAAATGTTGTGTTGGTCCAGGCGGGAGTCTTGGCCTGCTCTGCTCTTCTGCTACCAGCTGTGCACGTGTGGAGGAATGCACTTGTTCATTAAAACCATGTCAGCCTTCATGGAGAGCCCTTTGGGAGCCTCCTTCCCTGCCTGCTCCTTGTTTCCACCAGCAAGGCACTGGCGACTGAGACTTCCAACCCACCAGGCTCTCCTTCAGTGACAAGTGATGGGCTCGTGGCAGGAAAAGCCCTAACAAGGGGTTTTGGCTTGGGGGGTGATGGAACTAGGCTTGGCACTTAGAGTGGGCTATTCTAGTCTTAAGTTGGCTGCTTGCAGCTTTCAGTTTGGGTGTCCAGACTGCAGTTATTGGATGGGAGCATCACCACAGAGTGTTGATCTCCAAGTGTCTTCTCCAAAGAGCAACATGGCAAGTGGCATTGGCTGGAAAGCATTAAGCATAGCACAATTTTGGACGAGAAAGTCTGAACGACTTCTTTTTGCCACTTGTAATAKTTCCGTGTTTGACAAGTAACAGCAGAGAAACACACTCCCTCTCACGAGCATTCATGAGTACCTGGCATCTCTCATGAGCRTCTCTCTGCCAATACCTGTCTCACTTATCAAAATCACTATAGAGACATTCAATTTTTACTGTTTTTTTTTTTTTAATGTGCTTGTGTGCATATGTTTGCCCTGCTTTGGTGACTGTCTTTTGAGCAGCTCACAGTTGCAGGACATGGAGAAAAAATAATGCTAAACTGACAAAGTAGACGGACTTATTTCCATGCCTTGCCACAGGAGAAGGGCTGGAACTACCTCTCTGCTCATTTTCTCACCAAACTCTGTCCAGGTGAAGGATGTTTTCCTCTTGTACAAGACCATACCTTTCAGCTCAGCAGATCTGCAAAGAAACTCTCTTAGGAAAGCAGAAACCCATGGAAAATGAAAGCTTGTTACTGCRAACTGATGTTTCACATAGATCTGTAAAATAATTTTCAGTCATTAATGGCAACCCACCCCAAAAGCACTCAGGTCTTTTGTTTTGGATCTTGTCCTGAGACAAAAGGTCTCTTGTCTCATTACTGCCACTCTAAGGTGGAATGCAGCTTSTTGTAGCTGATGGCTACAAGACCACTCCGGCTGCTGGTGCTGATATCTGTTCTTAAGACAACTTTTATTGCTTTTCTCTTTAGGTGAGGGAGCCACTTC